CCGCCTCAGCTTCTCAAGTACCTAGGACTACAGGTGTGTGCCACTATGCCCAGCTAATTTTTAAAAAATTTTGTTTAGAGATGGAGTCTTTCTACGTTGCTCAAGCTAGTCTTGAATTCCTGGCCTCAAGCCATCCTCCTGCCTTGGCCTCTCAAAGTCCTAGTGTGAGTCACTATGCCCAGCCTATGCTTAGCTTTTCTTTTTTACATGAGTTTGTAGTTTTCAAACTTTTATTTTAAAATGGGAACACCCTTTCTCCAAATCTAAATAAATAAGAGCAGAGCAGTTTGTTGAAAGGAAGAGGCTCCACTGTTGCCCTCAAGCTCCCCTCCAAGGGATGCCAGCGATCCTGATTTGAAAAATACTGGACCCTTTAAACTCTAAATTTTAGTTTGTGCCTACCTGACACAATACAGTGTATTGTTACCTTAGGTCAGTTTTTGTCTCCATCTATCTGTGGACTCTAGAAGGGATAGGCAGTGCTTCTGGTTTCTGGAGTTCTACGAGAGTCTTAAGTGTTTATGCCACTTGGAGGATGTACTCAGATGTATGTGCAGCCTTATTTTCCCCTAATTAATGATGCCCCAGTCTTTTCTCCTGGTCATGTGGGATATTTACAGGGCAGCACAGAGAGTAAAACAGAAAAGGCCATGTACAAGTTCTCAGACCTATTAGATGTGAAAAGAATTGTGAATAGGTTCAGGAGAAACAGACAGTATGTCTGTGGATACATTTCACATGTGAAGAACTCTGAAAATTACAGAATGGTAGAAGTTATCCACTCTCTGATGCATTTCATGTTTATTAAAGGGCACAGAATGTGCCAGGTACATAGCTACACGCTGTGGATGCAAGAGTCAATCAAATGAGTGTGGTCTCAACCTTTGTGGAGTTAACAGGCTAAAACCTTAAACTTGGTAAGAGAGATAACATTTTAAGTAGCTGCTGTCCATGTGTTCTGAATGGGGAAACAAGCCAGAGAAATTCAAGTTGGAAAAACATTATCAAAAAATACCTGAATTCTATGATATAAAGTTAATATCACTTTTTTTTAACTTTGTAATAAGACATTTTCTGGCCTTATATAACTCTGGAATAATAAAATAGCTTTCGTAAATACCCATTGAGTATCCTTCTGTACAGGGACCATGTGTTACAGTAGGTACAGAGGTGAGGGAGTAATACACCATCTCTACCGTGGGAGAGCTCACAACCAGATTGCAGGCAAGCCGACAGACAGCCGTGATACAAGGCAGAATGCCCATGCTCTAGAGGAAGGTTTCACAGAGCTATAGGACTGAGAAGTAGAAGAGGTCATGTTCCTGTTGGAAAGATCAGGGAAGATTTCACAGAGGAGCTGCCATTTGTGGTGGGCCTTGAAGGATAGATAAGTGCCCGAAAGACCCAGATGGGAAGGGCAGAGGGACCCTGAGAAAGCATGGGGTGTAGAGAGGACCCCTTAATTTGTCCAGTATATGTTGTGCATTGGAGACAGAGGGAGTAGACCAGAAAGGCAGGTAGGTTGAGTCCCCAGTGTCTTGACTTCCAGGCAAACACTGTTACTCTCTGTTCTTTCAGCATCCAGAAGCATGAGAGGTTTTTAAAGCAGGAGATCGCATGGTGATTGAATACCTTTTCTGATAGAAGGATTCATGCATTTTACATTTTTTAAGCCAAACAAAGCAGATTGGATGGGATGGTTATCATTATGGCTATTCCTTTGGGAAATATTGCTATGGTGCAGGGGAAGGAACTGGGATCTGGAGAAGCCAGGAGATCTGTGACTTCCCTCTGAATCTACCACCACCCCAGTGAGTGACACTGAGCAAGCTCTGAGTCTTTCTGCCACTACTTTGAAAATGAAATTAGACTGATGATCTCTTCAGAGCCCTTCCAACTCTAACATTCGAAGCATATCGATACTGAAAACTGCTTTCAAACTAATACAGTGGAATGGAGCAGCTCTTAAAGCTTAAATTAAATTAAAGCTTTAAGATTGGGCAAACAGCTTTTGAACCTCAATGGTTTTTAAACTGATGACTGTGTAAACTGATAGACTGCCTTATAGCTCCGAAGTGAATTTTTTTTTTTTTTTAGATACATGGTCTTGCTTTGTCACCCAGGCTGGAGTGCAGTGGCACAGTCATAGCTCACTGCTTCCTCAAAACTCCTGGGCTCAAACAATCCTCCCACCTCAGCCTTCTGAGTAGCTAGGACTACAGGCACACACCATCACACCTGGCTAATTTTTTCAGAAAAATTTTTATAGGGATGAGGTACTGCTATGTTTCCCAGGCTCCAAGGCTACTCTCTATCCTGGCCTCAAGCAATCCTTCTGCCTTGGCCTCCCAAAGTGCTGAGGTTACAGGCAGTGAGCCACCACACATGGCCTGAATGTAAATGTTTACTGAAGAGTAAAGCATTTCATTATTTCTATAAAACCTTCAAATTTCTAAAGCAAAATAAGACTTCAGTATATACTACTTAGTTCGAAAACAGCAGCCCCTGTTTCTTGGTTCTGAAAGGACTTGATAGCCCCACTCTAACAACTGCAAGGGGTCACTAGAGGGCTTTGGGCTTCTTCTCTCAGAACTAGGTTTTTCCCTCTTTTCTCTTTGCCTCCCCATCTAAACATCTAGATGTCTAGGTCTCTTTTTTTTTTCTCATACTTCCCTTGCTTTTGCCTCAGATGTCTTCCCCCTATTGGCATAAAGCATAGGTGTGTCTAGTGTTTTGTGAGTTAGAATTTAGTACCTCCATTTTCAAAACTGTTTTAAGTGAGAAACATTTGACAGTTTTCTTTTTGAAAATTCCCACATTATACTGCTTTATTTATGTGGTGTTATTTGTGCATGTCCACTCCCTAATGGATTAACTTAACAAATGTTTAACTTAAGGAATTTATAACCCAAGCAGGGAGAAGTCTGGAAACTATTTGGTGGATGGAACTATGAGTGTTTGCTCTGAATAAGATAAGAATACAGATATTTGAAAGGGTGGGGGTTATTGTGAATAGCTCTAGAGTCAGGGATGAAAACTATGAGAAGGCAGACTTTGATTTGAGATAAGAAAGAATGATCTTACGAACTAGATTCTGTCCCAGCAAAGAGGCTGCCTCACGGTGTCCTGAGACATCCATGAGGCAGCCCCTTAGTTGCTACACAGCCTTCCACCCAGTATCTGCAGAGCGATTCTAGCGCTGAGTCAGAGATGGCCAGGTGACCACTGATGGTGCTTGTATTCCCTTAGGGATCGAATTTAAATGAGTGAAAATGAACACTTAGCTTTTGCCTTCTTACATGTTTTGTCTTAAGATCAGAGTACTAACTTGTATCTTTTTTCTTTTTTTTTTTTAATTAGGAAACGATGGCATCTCTTTCCTCCTGAAGATACTCCTTTCCTTTATCCAACTAGAATCCCTTATGAAGAATCCAGTGTGTTCAGTAAAATCAATGTTGTCAATCCTGATTTAAAGCGTTTTCCTCAGTTCCAGAAAGCTCAAAGACATATGGTTACACTGAGCCCAGGACAGGTAATAAGGCTTTAAAACTTTAATGACCTGCCAGGGGACACCACAGCTGTAACTCTCTCAAGTCCTTATGCTGTGTGCTTCTCCTCCCCGCGCAGTACAAATGAGAATGGCTTCCTTCCCTCTGCTCTGCTGTTGGAAGGTAGCCGCCCCAGCTGTAGGCTTCAGACAGGTACACCTCTGCTTCACAGGTCCTGGAAAGGAAATGGCAAGAGGGAACACAGCTCCTCCTATTGGTAAAGAGGAGAATGGACTTTGGAGGAAGACAGTCTACAGAGTCATTTTCATTTAGGTCAGGAGAAAATGTTCAAGGCATGGGTACTTGAGCATCTCTGGAACATTTAATCACAGTTAATATCTGTTCAATTATGATAGAACTGAACCCAGACACATAAACACAGGTCGGAATGCATCCAGGTGTGAGCCAACAGGGGCAGAAGGAACTGAGAATGTTTGCTTTTAAGCAAGAATGGATGTTGTTTTCATAAATTACTAACTCTGAAACATTTCCAAAGATATTGTACATAGTGCTGCTTTCCAGTGAGGAAAATTTCCTTTTCAACATTGGCGCTTGCTGTCTGATATTTCATTAATAATTTGAAAGGTTTTCTTAGTCACTTAAAGAGACTTTATTCTCTTGATTATCCCTCTCCCTTCCATTGTACCCGTCTCACTCACTCTTTTCCTGCTTCCTTCACTCAAGCATTATCAACTCAAACAATTTCACTTCACTGAGTTGCCTCAACCTGTTAGTCACTGTGCATTCACCTCTCCCCACAGCCCCTGACAGCAACTAATCTTTTTCTATCTCTGTAGATTTGCCCATTGTGGACATTTCACGTGGTGCAATATTATGATACAGGGCCTTCTGTGTCTGACTTCTTTCACACAGCATAATGTGTTTAAGGGTCATCCACATTGTAGAATGTTACTAGCACTTCATTTCTTTTTTATGGCTTAATAATATTCCATTGTGTGGCCATATAACATTTTGTTTATCCATTCATCAGTTGATGGACATTTGGGTTGTTTCTGCTTTGTTGGCTATTATAAGTAATGCTGCTTTGAACATTCATGTACAAGTTTTGTGTGTACATATGTCTTCATATGTACACATATGTTTTCAATACTCTTGGGTATACCTAGGAGTAGAATTGCTGGGTTACATGGTAACCCTCTGTTTAACTTTTTGAGGAGTTGTCAAACTGTTTTCCATAGCAACTGTACTATTTTACATTCCCACCAGCATTGTATGAGGGTTCCAGTTTCTTCACATCTTTCCCAACACTTGTTTTTCTTTTTTATCATTATTTTTACAGCCATTCCAGAGAGTGTGAAGTGGTTGCCAATCATTTTCTCTTCTGTCTTTAATAGCCAAATTTGAATGACTGGTTTTGTTCATTGTATCAGTTTTCCTTACCTCCTGTCCGTTCTTTAATCCACTCAAACCCAGCTCTTTCTCTCACCACTTTACTGAAACTTTACTCTGATAGGACATGCATAACCTACTTATGACTGTCAAGTGGACTTTCATAGTTTCCAGTTTTCCTGAAAGGATCTTTCTGTTTCCCAGTCCTGCCTTGTTCATAGCAAATACCAGTAGTTTCCTAAATCTGAAGCCCAAAAGCTTCATATCATCTCCATCTGCTCTGCTCTCAATAGGAAATCTCATACTGAGTCTGGATAGATGCCATCCTTCTTGACTCTGCCCATTGCTTTTGTTTATTATACCTTCCTATTTATATTTTAACATTTAATAAGTGGGCCTTTGCAAATATCTGCTGTCCTTCTCAGACTCTCTCGATACCACTATTTTAACCATCCCCCTACTTAGAATTTCTCAGTGACTCCTAATGCCTACCAGATAAAATCTAAATTCTTATTTTGAAGTCCACTGTCCCTAAACTAATTCCCCTACCTTATCTCCCATTATTCCCTCTGTGATTGTAAGACTGACTACTTGCTATCCTCTATAGTCCTACCTCCCTCTCCTGTACCTCTTATCCTTCCTGGCATGTCTTCATTCTTTTCTCAGTCTGAATTCTCTCCTAGCCCGGGTTCAAATCACACTTCCTCCATCCATGTTGCCCCTGACCTCCCTAGTTCATGCCTGTTTCACCTACCTCTGAAATTCTCAAACATCATTTTCTTCTAATTTACCACTTCTATAATGCCACCTTTCTTTACTTTATCTTCTTATTGGCTAGATTTCGAACTGTGAGAATACAGAAGCCATGTCCTATGTGTTTTACCTATGCCCTTTCTCAGAATGCATGCAACTATTTTGTGATGGAAAGGAGGAAAAATTAGAATCTCAGAATCATGTACTATGATTTAGGCGCAGACGAAGAAGGCCCAGGATTAAAGAGAATAGAGATGCTGGCAGTATCCTTTGTAGAACATGTGAACTTGTCAATAAAAAAGGAGTAAAAGGAAAAAAGGATTGCGGGGTTTTTTTCCTTTGCTTTTCTCCAGCAATATTATTGTGAATTCATTTGTATTCCTTTTTTTCCTAGCAGCCTCAATTAGAGTCTGAGTCTGACATAAAAATGAAATGTCCTGTTCTTGTGCTAACCATTCTTTGTTTGGTTTTCAGGTTCTGTTTGTTCCCAGACACTGGTGGCATTATGTAGAATCCATTGATCCTGTCACTGTCAGTATAAACTCATGGATTGAACTGGTACTTTTTCATTTCGTTTTGTTTTTTTAAGTAAGTGCAGATCATGCTTTTAAAAGATGTATAAGGTCTGGCTGTACAACTTGGTAATTAATTTTTTTAACCAATGCTTCAGTATTTTTTTGTTGCAGTGCACTATAACTTATGCATTCTGTCCTCTGTTAATGGATGTTTAGGTTGGAAATTGGAATTTTAGTGGTGTGCCACTCTCTTTAAGTACACAGAATGGGCCTGATGCTGGCAGGCAGGGTCCTTTCCCTTGACCAGTGTTGTTAGGAAAATTGTGTTGGGTCTGGCCAGATTTGCCGATACGTGTCCCTTGTTACCACTCCTCTTCCATACTGTCTGGGCTGGAAATACTTGCTT